GTGAGTGAAGATCTACCCTAGCTGTGAGTGGCACCAACCAACAGGCTTGTAGAGTGATGGAATAAAAAGGTAAAAAAATAAGGAAAGCTGCCTCCTGCTTCCCATGCCATAAACTGTCTCCTGACTACCCTGCCATGGACTGTTTCTCCTCTGCTATGACCCCCTGCCATGCTGCCCTGCCTTAGAGCCAGCTGACTATGGGCTGAAACCTCTACAAACTGTGAGCTGAAGCAAACCTCTCTTTCTTTAACTTGTGAGTTTCAGGTATTCGTCCCAGAAATGAAAAATCAACCTAGACACCAACTCACTCATCCTCAAATCTATCCATGATCTAGAACTGCCCTTACCTAATTTTAATAGGTAAAGTTGCCATATTATACACGCTTATGTTCTCATGCTTAATTAATATCTACCTCAACTAACATTCCAAATATCTTAACTAATATCTTTCTCACTGTCTGTCTAATAGTATGCTCTGCATGACATGGACAGGCAATTAAAATTTTATTTGATGACTCAAAATTGGGAAGATCATAGCGAGTCACAGAATTAGAATTCCGTGTATGTTATCCAGCTCTATGACCTCCATTCCCTTTGTAAACTAAATTTCCTGCTGAGAAGATCCTTCCAAATGTTGACATAATCAAGTGTAAATGGGGAAGATAATTAGAAAAAGATCGACTTCCTGGTAGGGAATACTAGATAATTATTTACCTGCCTCCCCATCATTTTGACTATCAACTTTTGTTTAGTAATTATCTTCTTTAATACCTTTCCATATATTTATGCAGATTTCTTCACCAATTTCCTACAGATTCTTTCTTAGCAAAAGTGTTAGGGTTCACCCATGTCTGTTCCCATCTTTAGATTCTTTTCATCTCTCTCATTCCTTAATCTGCTGATATCTTTTTTGAATGCCTATCAACATCTTTCAGCCTCTAGACATCAGCTAAATAGTCCAGATCCTTTCAGAAATCATAATTTCAAGTGTGAAATAAAATGTAGACTTCCACAAAGCATCATACAACTAGGAAATCTCTCTGAACACAACAAGTTTCATATGTGAAAATAGAACTGTGCATCAAAATTATGTAATAATAAATGTCAGAAGCTGATGAGGTGGTTGAGGACACACATTCCAAGTCCTTCTTTCCATTTTCCAGTTTTCTTCTTATAAAGCAAAAGAATCAAGGGCCCAGAAGACATTGGTGACATTTCTGAGGCATCTCTATGGGGGCTAAGTAGGAAATCATGCCATTGCTTTTTGCTGAATCAATCTAGAAAGGACTTTGGCAATCCTGCTGCAATAGGATTCCACATTAGGAGAAGGGTGTACATATAATAGCTCTCTTTTATATAACTGGTTACATTAAATGCAGTTTATCTAATTTTATTGCATTCCCATGAAGGGAGAAATATTATCCTCACATGAAGAGACTGAGATTGGGGAACTAATGGAGGTTAAGAAACTTCCTACAGACACTTAGCGAGCAGCTTAGTGGCGATTTAAATTTGAGTCTCTCTTAACTCCAAAGTCGTGATCCTTTTCTCTGATGTGATATTAGAATCAATTCCATAAAGATACAAGGCACAGTGTTCTCAATATTAGAAAAAAATGAGTCCTTCTCAATCATCACTGTAGTTTCAGTATACTAAATCTCTTCCTCATGGTAAATTAATCCTCTAATTCAGCCTACTTATTGATCGTGGAACACAGAAGTTAATAAAACAACTCTTCATTTTGAGAAACTCACGGCCTAAATGAGGAAAGATACACCAACAATAACTCCAGTACTAACTATTCAGCTTACACTAACTTTAGATTGTCATTCCATTAGTTCATTAGAATTATGTTGTTTCGGTATGATGTGCAATTATTCTTTGTAATCAGGAAAGGTATGCATATGGAACTTTTAAAATTTGCTTTACTTACTCATTTATTTCTTTACTGATTTGTGTATTTCTTCCTAATGAGCAACCCTATCCATACAGCATGGGTTTTGTTATCCTGAGTCATGTTGACAGCTTCCCTATCTTCATTGCTTAAGGATATTCTTGGACAAATAATTGGAAACTTGAGGCCTCAGTTTCTGGAGTGATTCAGAATTATAATGCCCCCATTTCCTCCTCAGTAAATTGTGGTTACTTGGTGTACACCGATGCTGTCAAGTGAGTAAGATGCAGAGGAGATCCCAAATGCAACTTGAGAACTGTAAATGGCAAAGAAAGATTTTTGTGTTTTAATTAGTATTTCCTGTATTTACTTTAAAAACACACAGATATAGTCTGGACCAAACTACTAATCACAATCCATGAGTTCCTATAAAACATTGTAATGACCGAAGCTCCCTGCTCTCAAAATTGGAATTTGAAGATGCTAATTATTCCAGTGTTCATGTAGATTTGTGGAACTATTGTCATTTGTCATGTTGGAAATATGACACAAGAAATATGAAGAATATTGTCAAAACCTATGTGGTTTTGCATGAACATCTAACTAGGAGTGTTTAGAAATAGGAGGCAGAAAGTGAAAATTGATAGAAATTGAAAGACACTTAGTATGCTAATGAACAAAACTACTTCTCCAGATGAATTTATTGCCAGGCTAAATGGTATCATTATTTAGGAAGTTTATGCTGTTAAATCAATGGGAAATAGGAGCTCATCTCATTAAACTGGTAGAAGGGTTGAGATGAGGTCAGGTTCTCATTTTCCGGAAGTGACAGTGGTTGTCACTTAGCTTAGGGCCCAGGAAAACTGGCTCAGAATGCTGTGTCCCATTGGGTTTGGCTGGCAGCTTTGCCTGGGACCTATGTCTGGGAATGAAGACCCCAAATTTGGTTCAAAGAAGCCACAGAAGAAAGGAAACCCAAGAAGCTCTGGCCCTTGTCAGTCCAGTGTTGTACTTCAAGAACAAAACAAATCAGTAAATCCTTCCTCTGCTTGGTCTGTACCAAGGGAGCTTGTGTTCTGTAGTCCATTTTCCCACTGTGGGACACAACTTAAAGAGCAGTTTCTTTGGCTCACAGTTTCTGGAGGATTCAGTCCCAGCTGGCTATAGGCAAAAACAGTGTGGTGGAAGGGCATGGAGAAGGAAAGGTGCTTACCCGTAGCAACCAGGAAGCAAGGAGAGAGAGAGAGAGAGAGAGAGAGAGAGCATCCTGAAAGAAGAATACAGTTTTCCTGTCCTGTCCACAGTGACCCACCTCCAAAAAATCTCTACCTCTCAACAGCACATTCAGGTATTGAATTTATCAAAGGACGAATCCACTGATGCACTCCATGATGCAGTCTCCTTCCAAACACATAAGACACTGGGGGCACATGTTAGATCCTAATCATAACACATTCTTTTAGAATATGATTGGGGTAACTTGCTCTAGGAAACAAGAATTGACCTCCTTAGCTTTTCTCCACTCCCTGCCCCTTTCCAAGTTGACATTTAATACTAGATTTTTCTTCGGACAGATACACTCCTCTCTCTGGGGTTGAGAGTAGTGATCTCTGAAAGTCAAGGCTTGCTGTCTCCTGCTTCTCCCTTCAGAAATATTTACGTAACTAAGGCCTTGCCTGGACTAGAGAAAAGACCTTTATGATGCAGATAACCTGCTTTTCTGAGAAAGGAATGAATGGATAGGACTCTTTAAAAAGCCATTCTTAGAATTCCAGTGTGACTGGGTTAATCTCTGAGGCGGTTTCTACCATTCATCTTTCTCCCCGTCTTTATTCCTTCCCAGTCCCTCTAGGACTGGAATAGCTGCTCCAGCTCTACCGTGTGTTTCCTAAGTAGTCCCTCTGTCCCTCTGATGCAGGAACCACCACTGTTTGCCTTTTTTCTACTTGGCTTTGAGCAGAATTTTCTCCACAGACTAATTAAAAATAGCACTTCTAACCTCAGGGTCGATTACAAGATATATTTTTTCACTCTCTTTTTTCAATAAACAGAAATTGAGACATAGGAAGATTTCTTTCTTTCAAAGAAATTAAAATAATGGAGTAATGAAATTATCTGCATTTCTTTAATATGCATTTTACCCCTGGGTCTGAAAGCTTTATGAAGGCAGAGCCATACACAATTTTTCCACCACTGTCTCCATGTACAGCTTCTAGAATGTTCTTCCTTATGGTCAATACTCATAAATTAATGAATGAACTGAGTATATAAGGAAGACCATTAGGCTTGGCTTAAAATGATGTCTTCAAGTTCAGAATTTTATCAAGACCTTCGAATGAGATTACATATGCAATATCGTACAAACTTCCAGAATTGGGGAAAAATGTTTCCATAGAATTTTAAAGTTATGCCCTGTTTTCAGACTACTGTTGTAGCGAATTATTTTTATAAACCTCACATCAAGATAATTATTTTAGTGATATTTTCTTCAGGAAAAGGAGTCATTATTAAAGAACAATATTTTTGAGCATTGGTTTGTTTAATTTTTAGTACATCAGAAATATCAAAACAGGTCAGATGGTTTAGGTGTCTCCCAGGAGAGAGAGAGAGAGAGACTATAAATGAATGATGGAGAAAGTAGCGCTGACCTCCTCACAGCTGAGGCTCACACCCGGCTCTCCCAGCGTGGCTCTGAGTGTCCCACAGACCTGGGCTGCTGCACAGTGGCTTTGCACACCACACTCTTCTCTCCGCCGAGTGCCTGGCTGTGTCTGCAGGACCTACCCTCCTCAACTGGCTGACTCCCAGCTGGCCCACAGTGCCGTTTTCCAGAAGCCCCTCCCTAACTCACCTGTACTGCAAGCTGGTTTCTGTAAGTCCTCAGGGCAGGGACACCTCTTTGTTCACTCCTTTCTCTCTAGGGCGAGGCCAACATCTCACACGTTGTGAATAAGTGCAATAAAAGTTCCCAAGTTACAGAATTACTTAATTCTGTGCAAGCCACTCAAATAGCATGGAGCTGCCCGGCCAAGGTAAATGTTGGAAGTGGTCTTTTTTGTACCTATTTCTCCATATGAGGCACTTTCCTGCTTCTCCTAGGTGCTGCCAGGAGATGAATTGAGAAGAGAGGCAATCAAAATAAACGAACCCTTCTTCCAGGCTGTCATTGTGAACAGAGTGCTGAAGAAGGACATCGTAAGTGGCATACGTGGACCTACTTGGTTTTGAGCTCCATGACTCTACAGCAGGGTCATCATCCTCATCAAGAAATTCCCTCTTTATTCTGATCAGGTGTCTGAGATCATGCAGAGGAGAGTTTATGGCCATGTGGTACTGTGGCTGCTACTGCTGCTCTCTTGTGGTTTAATCCCTTTTCATCTTGGATTTTCTTGATTCTCATTGGAAATGTGAAACCAGTCTTCAAAAGGGAGACACTTCCTTGTTTTTTTTTCTTTTTTCAATGAGTAGAGCACCTATCAGGAAGCTTACTATCTAAGATAAAGTAAACGTCAAAGAAAAAAGATCTGATGGAACAAAATGGTTAGCACTGTTGTAACTCTGGTATTATAGCAGTGAACAAGATAGAAACTCATTGCTGCCTTCATGGAGCCTGCTCTTTATTACTTATTTAACTTGTGATACTTTGTAAAAACATCTCCACTTTATTATTTCAGCTGATATAACAGATACTATTGGTGTCCTTCAGTGTTCTCATTTCTAACATTCCTAATTTTCATCACATGGCAGAGGGTGCATTCCATTTCAGAACAAAGTGGATCATTCATCAGCCTCAGGGAGGAAATCAGGATTGGACTCAGCCTACTATATTGATCCTGGTGAGTGACTGGCTTAAAAATGGGCCTGCTACATTATTCTAGTCAACAGTACACTAAGGAAGGATCTATTAGGAAGAACTCAGAATGTTTGCCTCATTCATAAAGTGGAACACAAGACAGATTCTTGTTTTGTTGCATCTGGACATGGTGATTCCAGGAGAAATCAGGAAGTGGGATGGCTTTCTTTGGACCATGCAGAGAAGACAGCTGGTATCAGAGGAGGAGGAAAGAATATACTCTTGGTGAAGACATTTGGCTATTAAATTTACTCATTGTAGGACTCTCACACTTCCGGGTTCTTTTTTTTTTAAGTGTGTAGTTTCTTTGAGGTTTCAGTCCGGCTTCCTGTTGCTCACAGCCTGTCTGGCCTCACTGATGAAGTAGGTGGTGAAGCTGTGGTTTCACTGTCCCCCAGGCAGAACGACACAGGGATCAGGAGTCTACTGGGGCTGCTCCACAAACAGCTCGGTTTGAGGGCATCTCGCTCTCTCTTGGATCTGCTCAACTCTGCTGTTGTGTGGGAAAACAACCCAGTTAACACAAATAGACAGGTAGCAAAACAAGCCCTAAGACCTATATTCACTGCAATGAGTTTGTCAATTGTTGCCATAGTACAAAGCCTATGGATTTAGAAATTGCACAAAACTTGTCTGCAGCCCATCTCTGTTATTTTTGCTATTTTATACAGCATTTTAAATATAAGAACTGCATGCATTTTGTTGTTTATATAATCTATCTTCTATCCTGCTATATCGCCAAACCTAGAAGAATGTTGAATGATTTAATAAATGTATGTGTTATTGAAGTCTTAATAATGTTACTGCAACAAAGGGAGAGAGACTCAATCTTATGTGTATCACTATGGACTCCTTAAAGGGAAATTTCCAACAGAAATACCCTCCTGCAATACAGTCTCCTACAGCCCACTCTCAAAATCCCAATCCTCTGCCTTACAGGTAAATGCTATAGAGGATGTACCAACAGCATCTGTGTTTTAGCATGGCCATAAATGAATATGCAGTAATTTGCTAATCATCACCTTGTTGCCTGGCATCTGATGAACTCTGGGATCTGATGGACAGCAGAGACAGTCTGTGGATTGATGTATCCCACATAATACTGTATCTTGAAATGACCTACCTGAAATCTAACCAGGGCCTGCTGAAGTTCATTTTATTAACCTATTTTGCAATGGGTCAGCACCCTCAATTAACATAAACACAGCGAGATGAATTCAAAATAAATAGACCTTAACTGAGCACCTGCTGCAAGTCCAGACTTCTATTTGGGGACATTTTAAATTGGCAAAGGCCTCCTCCAGGAAAGCTTGCTAGCAGCTTTTGGAGAGATGGAGTCTCCGAACATCACATCACCGAGAGGCTGGCTACTGAAGTAAAATCCCTGTCCGTACACTGGGCTAACTAAAGTATGGACTCTGTTCAGAAGCACATACTTGGAAATAACCAAGTAATCTCCTGAAAACCACTTTTCAGGGAAGTGCAGGCATTAAAACTTGTGTCTCCAGCCCTTCTTCTTTTCCCCTCTTTACGGAGGGGATTCTCCACACTTTGCCCTGCCTGTCGTTTTACGCTGGCCTCACTAGAATGTTGACAGCACAGTCTTCAACCTGGAGGTAGGCACTGATAAGTGTCTACTGTGTGTTTCAATGGGTGCAAAGCCTACCAGGAAGCTTCCTAGCTAAAACAAAGTAGACTTGGCACAGAAATAAGAAGTGATGGAAAAATTTTTATTGAGCAAAGCGAGGTCAGTAACTTCCAAGTACTAATTCTTGAGTTGCACAAGTTTCTGAGTCTAGCTATTGGTGGTGAATTCTGTGCAAGGACTTAGGTAATGCAGAGTTCTATTCATACCTGGATCAAGAGAGGGAACAGACAGAGACAGGTGTCCCCGTGGATGCAAGCACTAAATTAAAATTCAGCTCCAGAGATTCATCCACACTTTCTGAGAACAAGCCTGCCATGTGTGCGCTGGGTTCCACTGGATTGCTCTGCCTTGTGTTCTATTTTTGTCCTTTTTGAAATTATCTCCCATCTTCCTTCATCATGATTGTGCCTTATTCGAGTATTTCTCAACTTAAAGGGCAACACACTCCCTAAACTTTCCTTGTCACTCACAACTTCTTCCAAATTCTATCCTATTTCTCTGCTTTGTTTTCCAGCGTACGCTTTCAGCAAATGGATTCGCTGAATTCATTTCCCTACTCCCAGAGCCTCTTTACCTCATGCCCACTGTTGTCTGAAGCTGCTCTTAGAAAGGTCATTAACTGTCTCTGTGTTGCCAAATCCAAAGGTCAGTTCTCCAGCTCTCCTTGGAACCACAGCACAGTTCCTCAGTCTGTCTTCTAATTATTCTTCACTTAGCTTCAAGGATCCCATATAATCTTGCTTCTTTTCCTCTTTCTCTGTATTCTTTGCTTGTTTATCTTCTTTATTGTTCCTTTCAAAGGCTAGAGTCTGCAGAGATCTGTAGCCGCCCTTCTTTGTATCTAGATTTGCCCTTTGGAGATCTTATCCAAACATACAGCTTCACAGACCTAACATGTGTCAGAGACTTAAATTCTGATGTTTCCCTTGGGCTCCAAGGTCAACATCTCCCCTTGGCTTCCAATGACCATAGCCAGGTCAAACCTACCATATGCAAAATAAAACTAGGTTTTCAAATTTGTCCTCTAGTCATCCACATATTGGTAAATACAGTACCAATACCATTCACTCAACTTCTACTTTCCTTGCTTTATACTATCAATTGATTTCCGATCTTTTTCAGTTAAATCTTCAAAATAGCCCCAATCTGGTCACCTTTCACCATCCCTTTGGCTCCTCCTCATCTTTCATTGTCTTTCACATACACAGCTAAAAGAGTCTCCCATTGACCTCTCCAGTTTTATTCCTTACCTGGGCCTCCTCCACACACTCCCCACAATAGCCAGGGTAATTGTTTGTGGGCTGAATTATGTCCCCTAAAATCCTTATGCTGGAATAACAATCCTCCATTCTCTAGAATGTTACTATAACATTTGAGGTGACGTTCTTAATGAGACAATAAATTAAAATGAGGTGTTCTGTGTGGCCCTGATCTGCTACAACTGTTTTGATAGGAAGCAGACGTTCGGGGCAGGCAGGCCCAGAGGAGACCAGAGTAGGAGACAGGGAGAGGAGGAGGCCACAGGAGAAGTGAAAGCTGCCAGTGCCTGGATCTCAGACCTCCACCCTGCAGAACTGTGCGGAAGCAAACGGGCTTGCATTGCCTGGTGTAGATCACGGTAGCCCCAGCAAAGCACAAAACAATCTTCAGAAAACAAATCATTGCTTCACTCCTTTCTATAACTCCCCCTGCGGCTTTTTATTTCCCTTTGGAAAAACCAGCCAATCTTTGATGCTTTTCTGGATTTTAACAGTTTTTGAGCTCAGCTCTTCATTGTTTCTAGCTCTGATTTTTTTGACTATTTTTTTTTTCTTTTCAATGTTTTCTCTTCAATATTTCCAGATCATTCCAGTCTTGGGCTCTCTATTTCCCGTTGGCTCTGTGATTCTCCAGACACCAACTTCCATAGAGCTCCCTTCTTTGCTGTATTATGAAATCCCACACCCACAGGCGACTTCGGAAGTCATTTCCCAAGCAGTGTCCCCCGTGTGACCTGTGACCTTCCGTCACTCCACCCTTTTACTCTGGAACATGCTTCCTTCCTACCTGAAACTAAGTGCCTGAGTCATGTGTTTACTCACCTTTGCCTGTCCCAGTAGGAGCTACAATCTTCTAGAACATGATATTGTCTTGCTTAGCTTATTTATTCTTTCCATCAACATTAGACTTTCTTTCATTGTGTTTAGAACTATTTCACCAGTGCCAAGAACTGGGCTTAGCATGCATAAAGGACTTAACAAATATTAGTTGAACTCATGAATTTCTTGGCCCCCAGCCCTTGCTTTTGCACATCGCTTTTGGACTTTGTAAGATTTTTCACACTGTCCTCAAATACTTGCAATAGTTTTCCTTTGTAACTTGCTTACTGTTGTCAGGCATAGTGCTAAGGATTTGAATAATTGTTATCTGATATGTAGAATGGATTGTTTTACTCCAGAATGAAGTTATGCTTACCCAGTTAAAGAAAATGGGAGTTGTATGGCATGTCAACTCCTTCACTTGGAAAGGTTACTGAGGACGGACACATTGAGAAAGGATGACAGTCCAGAGTCCCTTTGGGTCCCTTGGTGGCCATCCATGGACAGCCTTGCGTTCTGTTCTCTGGGTGCTTCAAGGAGCTGATTGATGGCTGAGAGTCCTGATCTGCTGATCTGGGCCATTGCTTCTCCAGCTGGGTTGGCAACTCTGATGCCCAGCCTGAGCCAGTGGACAGCTAGACGTCCTTTTCCTATCGAATGCTAGCTGTTGTGCTCAAGAGACACATCTGGCAGAGCTGAGGTCCAGACTCTGGGGCACATACGCCCCCTTTCCTGCAGCTAATGTGGCAGCAAATGGAGATGGCATTGCAGAAGGGGTGTCAGGATCTTGCTTAATCTGTCATCGAAATAGACAGGAGCTTTCCATGTATATTTTATTAATCTAATTTAAACATTGCATCATCCTTATTAAGTATTTTCAATTCACAGATAAAAGAATTGGTGGCACACTCAAGGTTAAGGAGGTGACAGTGATGGAATGCAATACCTCTCCTACTCCTCGTCCCCCAGACATATACACACACTTTTACCACTGCAAACTCAGTTCCAGCCATAACAACTTTTTAACATGTAAAAAATTTGTTAGTCCATGTTTGCAGTACATGCACTTTACAATCGTCTTGGAGAGTGAGTTCACGTACATACTACAGCTTCTTTCTTTTTTAAAATTGCCTTCCCCTTTTCTTCCCCCTCCTCTAATTCCCTTACCTCAGTTTTCATTCTTGTTGATATTATTAATCTTAGCTCATATTACGTCATTTAATTTTTATATTCATTGAGGTTATTAGGTTCCTGTAC